AATTAATAGTATCTCAATTATTACAATTCCCTAGTTAAATACAGCTTTTTTTCCTTTGTGTTTTAAAATCTTGAACTCTCCTCCTAAATTTCCCATTGTTTGCAGTTTTTCACCTACCTTTTTTGGGGAGGAAAAATAAAAATAAAAATAAATCTCTCTCTGCCTCATTTTGTCACGCTGCACCAAAGATCCTGGTTTCGGTTTCGTTTCTGAAGCTTAGCTAGGGGAAAAAAAAACTGCTTTACACTGATTGCCTGTAGGGCGGCCCTTTGAAGCCCCGGGCAAGAGTTTAAACAGTTTTTTTTTCTTCTAGCCATCAGCTGGGGCTCAAGAAAAATCGGGACTTTTTTGAAACGCCGCGGGACGCGGGACAAATTGCTCAAAAGCGGGACTGTCCCGCCAAAAGCGGGACGTCTGGTCACCTTACCTTAAATGGCAAAATGGCAATTTGATCTCTAGTTCCTCTGCCTCTGAAATCCTGCCTGTACTTCTGGTAGTTCTCAATCCACATACTGCTGGAGTCTAGCTTGTAGGATTTTAAGCATAACTTTACTAGCATGTGAAATGAGTGCAATGGTACGATAGTTTGAACATTCTTTGGCATTGCCTTTCTTTGGAATTGGAATGTAAACTGACCTTTTCCAATCCTGTGACCACCATTGAGTTTTCCAAATTTGCTGGCAAATTGAGAGTAGCACTTTTACTGCATCATCTTTTAAGATTTTGAATAGATCAACTGGAATACCATCACCTCCACTAGATTTGCTGTTGCTCAGATTTCCTAAGGCCCCTTTAACTTCACATTCTAGGATGTCTGCCTCGAGGTCAGTGACCACCCCATCATGGTTATCAGGGACGTTAAGCTCGTTCTTGTATAGTTCATCTGTGTAATTTTGCCACCTCTTCTTAATCTCTTCTGCCTCTGTTAGGTCCCTGCCATTTTGGTCCTTTATCATGCCCATCTTTGCATGAAACGTTCCCTTCATATCTCCAATTTTCTTGAAGAGATCTCTGGTCCTCCCTATTCTATTGTTTTCTTCTATTTCTTTGCACTGTTCATTTAAGAAGGCATTCCTATTTCTTCTAGCTATTCTCTGGAATTCTGCATTCAACTGGGTGTATCTTTCTCTTTCTCTCTTGCCTTTTGCTTTCCTTCTTACCTCAGCTATTTGCAAAATTTCCTCAGACAGCCATTTTGCTTTCTTGCATTTCTTTTTCTTTAGGATGGTTTTAGTTGCTACCTCTTGTACAATGTTGCGAACCTCCGTCCATAGTTTTTCAGGAACTCTGTCTATCAGATCTAATTCCTTAAATCTATTTGTCACCTCTACTGTATATTCATTTAGTTCATACCTGAATGGCCTAGTGCTTTTCCCTACTTTCTTTAATTTAAGCCTAAATTTTGTAACGAGAAGGTCATGATCTGATTTCTGTGTTGACCGTCTGGTGATGTCCATACGTAGAGTCGTCTCTGGGTTGTTGGAAAAGAGTGTTTGCTATGACCATTGTATTCTCTTGACAAAATTCTATCAGCCTGTGCCCTGCTTCATTTTGTACTCTAAAGCCAAACTTGCCTGTAATTCCGGTTATCTTTTGGCTTCCTATTTTAGCATTCCAATCCCCCAAGATGATAAGGACATCATTTTTTGGTGTTAATTCTATAAGGTGCTGAAGGGCTTCATAGACAGATCAGTTTCATCCTCTTCAGCACCAATGGTTGGGGCGTAGACTTGGATTACTGTGATATTGAATGGTTTGCTTTGGATTCGAACTGAGATCGTTCTGTCATTTTGGGGATTGTATCCCAGTATTGCTTTTCCTACTCTTTTATTGATTATGAAGGCTACTCCATTTCTTCTGAGGGATTCTTGCTCAGTAGTATACCTGATGGTCATCTGAATTAAATTCACCCATTCCTGTCCATTTTAGTTCGCTGATTCCTAAGATGTCGATGTTCAGTCTTGTCATCTCTTGTTTGACCACGTCCATCTTGCCTTGATTCATGGATCTTACATTCCAAGTTCCTATGGAGAAAAAATCTTTACAGCATCGGACTTTCCTTTCACCACCAGATGAATCCACAGCTGAGCGTCCTTTCGGCTTTGGCCCAATTCTTTCACTCTTTCTGGCGCTACTAGTACTAGCCCTCTGCTCTTCCCCAGTAGCATATTGGACACCTTCCTACCTGAGGGGCTCATTTTCCAGCATCATATCTTTTTGCCTTTTGGTACTGTCCATGGGGTTTTCATGTCAAAGATACTGGAGTGGTTTGCCATTTCCTTCTCCAGTGGGCCACGTTTTGTCAGAACTCTCTGCTATGACCTGTCCGTATTGGGTGGCCCTGCACGGCATAGCTCACAGCTTTATTGAGCTACACAAGCCCCTTCGCCACAACAAGGCAGTAATCAATGAAGGGGAGAGTGTGTATAGGCACACAAAAAGATACATTATCTACTATATATATTGTATTTGTATGTATACACACATACACACACACAGCTCTTCTAAAACTATACACATTCAACCTCACTTATTACATTTGGAAAAACACACCCAGAGTCCACTTTCTGCCACACATTTAATTATAACTTCTGTACATTAGAACATTACACACATCTTCACATGTTCTTCCCTAGCTTGCACATGACTGTTAGAGCCAGGAGAGGTCATGGATTGAGTAAAATGGGATGAAAGTCTCTTGTTTAGAAGCCAAAATTTTGGGCTCAATTATGGTCATAAGTCAAGGACTATCTCTGCCTTCCTCTGCATGGCAGCCTTGTTCTAATAAACTCTTTCTTTCTGGCAATTTCCCTCTCTGTTAGAGGCACCAAAATAATTCAGATAATGTAAGGTTTCCTGCTGCAGCCGTGGGTTGGACTAGATGACCTCTGAGATCCCTTCCAGCCCTAGATTGCTGTGCTTTTTCAAAATGTCTTCTGAAGCCACATCTAGTGCCAGGTTTTGTGGTGCTTTCTTCCTCTTCTTTCTCTCTCCCTCTCTCCCTTCCTTCCTTCCTCTTTCTTTCTTTCTTTCTTTCTTTCTTTCTTTCTTTCTTCTTTTTCTTTCTTTTTTCTCCTTTTTCTCCTTTTTCTTTCTTTCTTTGTCTCTTTTTTTTCTTTCTTTTTCTTTCTTCTCTCTCTCCTTCCTTTCTTTTTCTTTCGCTTTCTCTTTCTTTCTCTTTCTTTCTTTTCTCTCTCTGTGTCTCCCTTCTTTCCTCTTTCTTTCTTTTTCTTTATCTCTTTCTTTCTTTCTTTCTCTCTTACTTACTTTCTTTCTTTCTTGTCTCTCTCTCCCTTTCTCTTTCTTTCTCTTTCTTTCTTTCTTTGTCTCTCTCTCTCTCTCTTCCTTCCTTCGTCTTTCTTTCTTGTCTGTCTCTCTTTCTCTTTCTTAATACCCTATATGAGCCCTAGACTCCACCCACCACAAATGGATGGTTTCAGATTTTAAAACACTTTTTAAAAAATATAATAACCTGGTCTTCATTTTGACAAATTTATCCTTACCAGGAAAATTTAAGCATTTATGAGCTTCAAGTTAATCATATTTTTTTAAAAAAATAGTTTTAACTTGTCAGTTAAGAGTGTTCTGTATTATGATAGATTTAGTCAACTGTATACTTTTGTTTGTATTTAATGTTTTACCTTTCTAATAAGTTTATTTTTTTAGATTTAAACATTTGCTTTTTAAAATGTGTTTAACTTTGTGTATTTTATATTTTTTAGCTTTTGAAATTGTTTACATCCCACCCTTCTTATACTAGTCTAGGACTGTAATAAAAATTTGATTTACTGATCTGTGAGTTGCATGTTCATGAAGGTTAATTATGCATTTATATATGAATTACCCAGACTCAGTCATTTAAGTATAGAGCTTTTCTAAAAAAAAAAAAAAAAAAAAAAAAAAGCTAAAATAGTTAGTGAATGAAGGACAGTGCTTTCAAATAGGCCTGAAGGAGAAGGAAGGGTGGGAGAACAGAAACTATTTCCCACAATCTGCATCATAAGATTTCCAACACCCTGAATCATAAGACTTTGCTTTGCAAATCAAAAGCTTCACTTAAATTTAAATACTTATTAACACAGCTGCCTGCAATTTACTGCTGGTTCGAATCTCTCCAAGGCTCAAGGTTGACTCAGCCTTCCATCCTTTCTAAGGTAGGTTAAATGAGGACCCAGTTTGTGGGGGCAATAAGCTGACTTTGTATAAATATACAAAAGTATGAAGGCTATTGCTGAACGCACTGTAAGCCGCCCTGAGTCTCCGGAGAAGGGCGGCATATAAATCAATTTTTTTAAAAAAAAAAAAATACTGAATATAGTCTGCTCTTTATATCTTTGAAGATGTTTCACTTCTCATCCAAGCTTCTTCAATTCAGAAGAAGCTTCTTGGATGAGAAACGAAAGGTCTTCAAAAAACAAAACAAAACCAGAAAGTTCAGTTGCCTCTTGAAAAAGCACTTTTGGGACAACCATGACCTGGATGACTGACAATCTCCATAGATACTGCTCTTTATACATATATTTTATTTTATCCTGAAGCGATCATAATTTTTGCTACTCTCATCTAATTACCTTACTTTACCTTTTATTGTTCGCATATTATGAAACACTATTACCACTTTTTTGTTTTAGACCCTAGAGATTAGTAATGTGCAGTTATTTGGCCCGATTCCTCCATGTCGAGCCTCCCAAAATTTAAAATCTTCAGGAAGAGCATCTTGCAGGTAGCACTGCTGAATATGAAACGTCAGCAAAATCCACCACTTTGCTCCTAAAATGGCCTAGGGGAACAATTTTTTTTTACATGCCACCCATAACATTATCCAAAGTGACTTTTAGTTATGAATTCGGGTTTTTTTGACCAGGGAGGAGAGAAGTCGACACTCCAGCAGAGTCAAGTTAGATAATTTCTGAATTTTTGACACCACAAGCTCAAAAGGTTCAACATTACTGATCTAGGATGTTGTTCGTTATGGTCATATTCATCTGCTTTCATTTTAGGTTCATGGCAAATGTCATCTTGTTTACTCTGGGTCATCAAGTTCTTTCCATAGATATTCAAAGAGGAAAACATTATGTTGCTGCTGTATATGAACATCATGCCATCCTGAATCCCAATCCAGTGGCCATCATTGATCGGCAAACTGCATTACAATTAATGAAGAGGAATCTAGACATTTATGAAGAGCAAGTAATTAATGCAGCAAAACAGGTAGAATATTAGTCTTTGCTATTTTTAATATAAAATTTGACTACCATTGGAAGTCAGTTGAAAATACCTTATTGCAACACTCTAAATTGGCACAGACCTAAATAACAGTGAACGGATTAGCTTCAATTTTATATCATAATACAGTAGTATTATTTAGCATATAGTAGTATTATAGTCATTAAGTTATTAAAATGTAGACTTCAGATATTTGGACTGTAAAAGACTATCATCTTGGCTTCTATTATGAGTTCCCAGAATCTTAGATCACCCTTGGTTTTTTTTTAGATTAATTAAAAATGTGACAGTTGAACAAGATGCCTTATATTTACTATAAGAGTTTGTTACATGTATCCTATAAAGTGCTTGAGGAAGTTGCATTCTGTGTCTGCATAAGATAGATTTGTTCATTTCCAAAATTAGTGTGTTTCACTAATTTCCATTTAATTTCCATTGAAATACAAATACAATGTATTAATTTGTCCATAATTATGAAATTATTTTTAATGAAAGCAATTATATGCCTTAAACTATAGCTATTTAATAAAGAAATAATTTTGTTTCACTATTAGCCTTTGGCTGATAAATATTTTTCGTAACTATTAGGGGGCCCAAATAATTATCTTTCCTGAAGATGGAATTCAAGGTTTCAACTTCACAAGGGCTTCCATTTATCCTTACCTGGATTTCATTCCAAACCTGGACTCTCTAACATGGAATCCATGCAAAGAATTTTACTTATTCAATGACACTGAGGTAATTTCTTTAATTAATGTAATTTTTTTCCTCTATTTTCTTAATGCACTCTTCCAAATAAAAATCATTTAAAAGCTAAAATTGTACCTACTGTATTTTTCAATGTATAAGACACATTCTTCCCCAAAAGTGGGTGGAAATGCCTGTGTGTCTTATACAGTGAAGCCCCGCCCACCTACCCCCCCCTTCAGCCTCTGCTTCCCAGCAATTTGCCTCCTTGCAGCAAACAGCAAACATGCCTGGTCAGCTTCAGCACAATCTGATTTAGCACGAGCAGTAGACGGTTGGAGCTACTTCCTGGAATATCGCCTATCAGCTGTTCCAGACTGCGAGGATTGCCACCGCCCATCGTCACTGCTGCTTATCGCCACATCTGTGCACCCCATTTTTGGCCTCTGTGCTTTCAGCCCGTTCCAGGCGGCGGGGATTACTGCCACCGCCTATCCAGGAGGCAAATCCTACCGCCAATCAGCTGCTCATGTAAATCAAGCTATGCTGAAGCTGACCAGGCTGATTGCTGTTTGCTGCAAGAAGGCAAAATGTTGGGAGACAGAGGCAGATTTTTTTTTCTTGTTTTCCTCCCCAAATGCAAGGTGTGTCTTATAGATTGGAGCGTCTTATAGTCCAAAAAATAAGGTAATTCAATAGTCAGTTAACACAATACTGTAGCTCAGTGTTTTTCTTTTTTATATATGACAACATTCTAATTTAATATTTAAAAAACTTTTGCTTTTATAGGTTCTCCATCAACTCAGCTGTATGGCGTTGAAAAATCAAATATTTTTAGTTGTAAATTTGGGAACTAAAGAGCCCTGCATGCAAAGTGATCCACACTGTCCACCAGATGGAAGGTATCAGTTTAATACCAATGTAGTACTTAATGACAATGGCATACTCATAGCCAGATACAGAAAACAAAACCTATACTTCGAGTATGCCTTTAATACTCCACCAGAGATTGATTATACAGTTTTTGATACACCTTTCGCAGGCAGATTTGGAATCTTTACTTGCTTTGATATTTTATTTTATGAGCCAACTGTAACCCTTATAAAGCAATACAACATAACCCAGGTCGCATATCCTACTGCATGGATGAATCAACTTCCACTTTTGTCTGCTGTAGAATTTCAACAAGCTTTTGCAACTGCTTTTAAAATAAACCTTTTGGCAGCAAATATCCATCATCCTGACTTGGGCATGACAGGCAGTGGTATATATACACCATCAAAATCTTTCACTTATTATGATATGGAAAGCATTAATGGGAAACTTATAGTTGTAGAAATTCCAGTTATTACATCATATCATGAAACTAATATGGAAAACAATGCAATATCCCACAATAGTCAAAAGAGTTCTTTGAATTTTTATATAGAGAAACAGATTTGCCATAAAGATCAAGAAATTGACTGTAAAATAGAAGAAAAGCCATCCCAAGAATTTTATGGAATAATGATGTATGATAATTTTACCTTAATGCCCATACTAAATGCAGAAGGAAATATAGAAGTTTGTTCCAATACACTTTGTTGTAATTTAATCTATAAGCAATTAGAAAAAACAAATGAACTTTATGTTTTAGGAGTTTTTGATGATTTGCATACAGTACATGGAACATACTATGTTCAAGCCTGTGTATTAGTAAAATGTGGTGGACTTAACTATTCTACCTGTGGGCAAGAAATCACAGAGGCATCTGGATTGATAGATTTTCAGCTCCAAGGAAATTTCAGTACTACTTTTATCTTTCCTCTCTTGCTAAGATCTGGCGTCACTCTAGACTTTCCTGACTATTTGGGATGGGAAAAAAAATCCTATGTCATGTACAAAATGGGAGGATCTTCTGGTTTAATAACAGCTGGCCTATATGGACGTTGGTATGAGAGGGACACAAATAATTTTTGATAGAATAATGTCTCAAAATTATTACTGCAAGAACCCAATAAATATTCTTCGATGTTATTATTCAAAGCCTTTGGACTTTTATTACACATATATAGTACATGGAACATACTATGATTAAAGTTGAATTATTTCATCAAAATGCCTTGTCCATTAGACCATTTCACAGGTGTGGCTTCAATGTAGCAGAATATGCCATCTCTGACATCAGGGAATGGGAGTGACTCAACCATTATATTGCAATTAGGAACATTGTGCCTTTGGAATAATCAGCTATCTTTCCCCTCATAGTCAATGCTTCTCTTCCAACACTTTCCTTTGTTTGATATCTATCCCTTGTTCTTGTTCGAGAATTGCTTTCTTATACTGGTCTACCTTGTAGATCTGACAACTGTTGTTTGCACTGTATTGATTTTTGAAATTGTAGACACATCACAGAATCTGAATATATTTCTAAGACTTTTATTGCTACCATACCAAGTACTAGTTGGCAGCGTAATACTTAATTATGGTTCGTTTACCATTACAAATATCATTCCTTGACTGTTGGATACTAATTAGTAAACAGTATATTTTTTATTTGAAGGGTCATTTCAATTTGCTAATACTTAAAGTTCAACATTTAGCAATTGATTTCATCTCTCAGTGTTGAGTTCTGCTGTGCTCATGCTTCTTACTTGCCTTACTCACAGTTTTTCTTTGGACTTTTGAACTTTCTTTTTCTGATTGGCAATATTAGCAATTAGATGTCCCATTGGCTTTATTCTAGGTATGTAATAAACACCAAGACTAGAAGTCTAAAAGTACCTCAGCTTTTGTTTGGTAGCATATGGAATGCCATCCCATGGAAGAAGCTGATCATCTAGCATGGGTGTCGGCAACCTGCGGTTCTGGAGCTGCATGCAGCTCTTTCACCCCTCTCTGCGGCTCCCTGATCCCTGTCGTGCCAGGAAGCGCACTCCCAGACCGGTTGCTGCCAACGCAGACTCTTTCAGCAGCAGTCACTCTGGGAGTGGCTTCTCACTCTATGGTTCCAACTCCATGCGGCTGCCCCGGCTTCTGGAAGACTCAACAGCAGGCGGCTGGCCCAACTGGCTTCTTCGCTTCCAGCGGCTTCCAGCTGGGGTTTGGAAGCTGCAGAGGAAGCCATCCTCAGTGGTCGGATGGCGGTGGCAGCAGCGTGTCTCCCCATGCGGGGCTGAAGCTCACTTCGCCTTTTTCCGCCTCTCTGCCCCAGCTGCCAAAAGACTCTCTGCCCTGGCTCCTGGAAGACTTGTCAGCAGGCGGCTGGCCCAACTGGTGTCTTCTCCGCTTCTAGCGGCTTCTAGCTGGGGTTTGGAAGCCACAAAGTCATCCTCAGTGTTGGATGGCAGCAGTGCAGTCTCTCCATGCGGGGCTACAGCTCACTTCCCCTTCGCTGCCTCTGCCCTGGCTGCCAGAAGACTCTCTGCCCCGACTCCTGAAAGACTTGCAGCAAGCGGCTGGTCTGACCGGTGTCTTTCCGTTTCCGGTGGCTTCCACGGGTTTGGAAGCTGCAGAGGAAGCCATCCTCAATGCTGGGTGGGCACCACGTGGCAAGAAGTGCTGGGCGGCTGCTCTCTTGTGAGCAGGGCAGGAGTTTGCAGATGAGAGGGATGGATGGGTGGATGAATGGACGGGAGGTGGGTGAGCACCAAGATTGTGGGGGGAGAGAGAGAATGAGAGGCAGCTCCCGATCAGCTCAGCTGATCCACGGGTCATGATTAAGGGGACCAGCTGCCATTACTTGACCAGGGAAGAGAAGGGCTGCTTCCGGTGCTGGCCACGCCCACCCTTTCCTAGGGCTTATTTTCAGGGGAGGCCACCCCAAAAATCAGACTTGGCCTTATTTTCAGGACATTTCTTATTTTGGGGGAAACACTATATCAATTTTAATTTGCTGCTTTCTCCATGTTCAAGTGGTGGCAGTGGTGCTTGTGATGGTTTTGGATCCAATTCTGTTGTATCTGATTGTTCCAGTCTTGGTCTCTTGGTGGGAAGTATAGTATACCCCTAAAGGACAGTGCCAGAAACCTCACAGCACCAGAGGCACTCAGAAAACAGTGTCAAGAAACTCAAGCCAGCCCTTACCCCTTTAAGAAAACCCCAGGCAAAAACACTAGCTGAAAGGAACACTTAAGTACAGCCATTAAGATAAGGGGAATCAGGCTAAAAATAACTCACCTGGAACTCCCCATTTCCCCTTTCCTGGCAGAATTAACCCCCAGGATAGAAAAGACAAAAGACCTATAACCAAGATTAACCCAGGAAAACAGGAATATGAAATCCAGGACAATCAGAAACCCATCAAAACCCATCAAGCTGCAGGAGCTCACAAAGCTTGCACAAAGCTAAACATATGAAAGCAGCTATTGAGTCACATAAAATGTAGTTGCTGCAAGAAGCAACCACCTCACAAAAATTACACAACCTCAAAAACCAGTTATCACACTTACATACAGAATCTCACAAAGCTTGCACAAATCTGAATATGCTAGCTATTGAGTCACATAAAACGCAACCACATTTTTTGTGACTCAATAGCTTGCTTTTATATGTGCAGCTTTGTCCAAGCTTTGTGAGATTGTGTGTTTCTGTAGTGAGAGTGAATCGCTACACAAACACACAATCTCACAAAGCTTGCACAAAACTGAACATATAAAAGCAGCTAAAATTTCATAAATTTAATGTGATTCTATTTCCTAAAAAAAAAAAAAAATACATTTCATAAAAACAGTAACATTTCCAAAAAATACATTTCATAAAAATAGTAACATTTTGTGATACACAGGAAATACCTGTCACCCGGAAAATAATTGACAGAGAGTTGGAAGACAAGACAAGAAAAAGTTTATTTCTTTGCAAAGGTCCCTCTCAAATTGAGAGAGCAAATTACAGTGTCTTGTTTACCGTCTTTTATACAATTTCAGGTTACATCATACAGGATACAAGCCAGGATACAAGCATGTCCCTTGAGCACAATTTCAGACTTTATATAACAAGTTAAACACATGTTTTCCCCTTTTTAATGAGGGCAAGATGCTTGAGGGCAAGATGACCTAAAAGCATATTTCCTGCCAGATAAACACATTCTCAAGAACACAGGAATTACACAGTTCCTTTCTCACGTTCTTAAATGTCAGCTAAATTATATAATCAGGTTATACAGAGTAAAATAAAGCCTTGACATGATTTCAAAATGGCGTAATTTAGGCTATACATTTTACAGGAATAATCCTAATTTCTTTATTTCTCACAATCCCCACTTCTCCTCTTCATTACTTTTTATTCCTGTAAATTATGTATATCTTGTAACATTATAGAAACTTCTCTTCTCCCTAAGCCACCATGCGAATCTCCAGCCAATTTCTTTTGCTTCTTTAGTCGACAGCAACACTTCCAAAAATCACAGCAAATAGGTATGCATTTAATACAAAGACAAGAAATAACATATAACTATAATTAATAATATGGCTACAAACAATTCCCTTAACTATGCAAAATTAGGTAACCATGAGGTTAGTATATCCCAAACTCCTCTAAAAGCTGTATTTTGGACTCCCAAATAATGTTATAACATGTGACAAATTAAAATTATTGGTTGGTTCTATTATGATATTTGCTTCTTCAAATAAAAACTTTCCTGGTACTGGCACCCCACAAAACATGTAGCCATTATATCAGAGACAGTGTCTCACCCCTGATACAAAAGGAAGTACTGTTTAAAGCTACCTTCATTAAATCCAGAAATATATTGCCTTCTCTCGTTCTCCGTTCAGCAATACTTCTGGTATATCATAAAGGTGCCTTAAGATAACCAACAGCACATCTTCCCTTCCAGAAATAAGGCAATTTAGGCAAAGCCAAATTTCCACATAGAAACATTAACTTCGAAGGGGCTTTTATTTCAAAATATGGAAAGTGTAATCCTTCCTCCAAAATACGGAACATTTTATATGAAGGAGTATGATTACCATATAAATCAGTGCATTGATTATATAAAAACTCCATTCTATCTGATAAATCAGTGTATTTAGGGGTTATGTCATATGTATTGTTACAACTGGCATATCTGCCCAACGGTATACATCCACAAAAGATGATCTTATACATATATCAGCTTCTTCAGCACCTTCTATTAGGGTCAGTGTTTCTATTAAAGAGTAATGGTGCTCGAGTTCAGTATGGAAACATAACTGCTGCCACGTTATTGGATAATCATGTAACACATCCAACATCTCTTTTTCCATCCCTATCTGCACCTCCAAAAGAATAAATAGAAACACCATATACCCCATCTTCCTAGTGGACTAAGCTCCCCTCTTCAATGTAGCTTCCAGAAAGATAAAATATTATTATCTTACCACCAAAGTATCAGACTGTCGAAGTGAACCTGCATCCACTGGATACCAAAGCATACTTTTACACCAGTCAATTATATTTTTTCTTAATATAATCAAAAATACAACAAAAATTAATATCACTCCTAGCCAAATACAAAATTCTTCACAAAACTCTTCTTCCATCCATTGGTCATCAATCGTCTAAGGGTTGTTGACGAAAGGTCAATTTAAGAGGATCTGTAGATTTTGCAGCAACCGTCCATCCGTATAGTGAAGCCACCAGTCCTTTCACTCTAGAATAATGCACCCAACCTCGTTCCTTTGTCCTCACAGCCGATTCAGTAGTCAGCAAAACTTGAAATGGCCCTTCCCACACCAGCTGCAACTTTTTCTCCTTGAGTGCTTTGATCAGGACCCAGTCTCCGCTTTTATATTCATGTGCTTGGAAATCAAGAGGTGGATTCTGTCCTTTTTACCTTAAATGAGAAAAACACTGGGACAGTCCCTGTATATTTTCTCAGAAAAAACATATTTCAATTCTATCCTAAGCATCTCAACTTTCCCTGTATACGGCAATCCAAACATCATTTCATATGTAAATATCCCCAGATCTTTCCTAGGACTAGTTCTTATTCTTAATAGAGCTAAAGGCAAACACTTCGTCCAAGGTAGTTGAAGCTCTAACATTAATCTTTGTAACAT